TTATATGAAATCCATTGGTGATAGACTAGAGAGTCGGGAGAAAGCAAAACAGGGAAACCTCTGGGATACAAGTACAATGATGGACACATCATTGGATACAAGTACAATGATGGACACATACCTAGGTGGGTGCAGATAACAATGAAGGAATTTGTGGTATCTGTCCTGGCGCCCAGCACATTAGGTTGTGCCCCAAGGGGTCCAGAAAAAGGTAAGTCACAGATTACCCAGACATGTCAAGGGTCTGTTATTATGATGCAAAAAGACAGATAGGCTCAGTTAAGGTAAAGGTCGACCTCGTCAGTGAAGATAATGGCCTAGGACCGTGGTCAGCAAACTGCAGTTCTGGAGCCACATGCGGCTCTTTGGCCCCTTGAGTGTGGCTCTTCCACAAAACACCACAGCCTGCTCGAGTCTATGTTGAAGAAGTGGCGTTAGAAGAAGTTTACGTTTAAAAAGTGTGGCTCTCAAAAGAAATTCAATCGTCGTACTGTTGATATTTGATTCTGTTGACTAATGAGTTTGCCGACCACTGGCCTAGGACATAACTACCCATCATAACTGCTTTTAGTTAAAGTTTCATTTTAGACCACCCTCTGTGGTTACTTTAGGTCTCCAGATTTGCAAGACCGCCATGCAGGCCTTCCCTGAGCTTGTCAGGTCAGCATTGGCCCCTTTTGTTCACAGGAGCATGCGGAAACAGGCAATCAATGATTCTCTCCCATCGCTGCTGCTTCTGTCTCTCCCCTCCCTTCCTCTCTCTGAAATCAATAAACACACACACACACACACACACACACACACACACACACACACACATATATATATATATATATATATTTTTTTTTAACCAGCCTAATCATAATGGTCATATAGACAAGCTCTCCCTAGAAGAGTGATTTGCAGCCTTTATTCTGCTCCAGCCCTGTTTCGCCCACAGCACACTCCCAATCAGTAACATCTCTCCTCACACAATGCTGTGATTCTCAGGGGGACCTTTGGGAGGCGGAGAGCTTGAAAAGTCTTCCCCCCAGAATTCTAACTCCCCACCATAAAGGATCACTGCAGGAGGAGAATAAAATACAAAGTTGCTAATAACAATCTAAGTCAGCAGGGAACATATCATCCTACCAAAATAGCCGAGTTTTAAATAGGCATTGACTAAGTTCCAGGATGATCCGAGAGCTCAGAGCGTAGCTCATTGTTGTAGTTATTCGTTCCCTGTAAAGAATCGCTCTATTCTTTCAGAAGAAAGCAGGGTCTGGTTAGGAGAAAGGGAAAACTTGCTTGTCGATCAACTAATCAACATTTTTTATGCCTATTGCCTATGCATCAATGTACTAAGCAACATGTAGAAAATGCATCGTTTTATAGCAACTGGATAGAAAAGTTAGGAACATCTTTAAAAAAACATAAAATCATAACATTAATGTTAAGTTATGAAAGACTAATTATAAAACCATCCTATGTGGTTTTAAGAAAATTGAACTGGCTGAAACTGGTTTGACTCAGTGGATAGAGCGTAGGCCTGTGGACTGAAAGGTCCAGGGTTCGATTCCGGTCAAGGGCACGTACCTTGGTTGCCGGCACATCCCCAGTGGGGGGTGTGCAAGAGGCAGTTGGTCGATGTTTCTCTCCCATCGACGTTTCTAACTCTCTATCCCTCTCACTTCCTTTCTGTGTAAAATCAATAAAATATATTTTTTAAAGAAAAAAAGAAAAGAAAATTGAACCGGCAGCCTTCTCAGCTCAAGGCAATCATTGCCTTGATGGACAATAAGAGCTCAGTGCTACCAAGTCGACTGATTTATTTTTTCAAGAAAACTCAATATCTCTAAACTTTTAAATGAGGACTCAAAATTCTTTAAATTTATCACTTAGGCCAAATAAAACTCAACTCTTGGCCTGACATGGATACCAGTTTATTCAATAAATTCAATTAAAAAATAAAATAAAAAATTACCTTCTATAGATTTTAGAAGTAATTTTTTTTCTTTTATTAATTGAGAGAGAGAGAAATAGAGAGAAAGATGTGAGAGAGACACAGGTATGATAGTAGTAGCCTTCCACATGCACCCCCACCAGGCTGGGGGATTGAACCTGCAATTCAGGTTCATGTCCTTGATTGGGAATGGAAACCATGACCCTTCAGTGCACAGGCCAATGCTCTAACCACTGAACCATGCCAGCCAGGGCAGAAGTAACTTTCTTAAGAATCTCAGCTGCATAAATTTTTAACTACTATATAATTAAAAATTTCTCTTATAATAATATTTAAGGTTATACCTAAAAAGATGTTCCTCTGAAAATTGATATCAGTTTTCATTTCAATTTCCCCCCATATATTTTCCTCAGAAGTATAAAATATGATTTGTCTTTTCTTTTTTCAAGAAGATCTGGAAAGGCTGGTCTTTAAACTAAGATCATTCATAATTTCAAGTTGAACACCTTCTACATAGAAAATTCATCTCTTAAAGATACCGATTGACTTGAGACAACTGTGATAGAAAATCCTTTCTTACAATGATCTGAATCAAGAACCAGGGCTCAATAATTCCCCAATCAGTGTTCTTTCCATTCTGTTAAATTTCAGTTTGAATGAGGTTTTTAGATATCCTGGTTACAATACAAATAAAAATAAGTTCAAAACAAAATGCAGAAGATTTCTAGTAGGTCCTATATAAATGATAGAAATATTTACTTTTTTCCCTTTTCTATTGAGACAATATTTACTTTTAGAAAGTTTTGTTGCAACAAAATGTATTATAGAATTATTTTTATTTTTTTAAATTTTATATAGTATTTCCTTCATATTTTTATTTCTTATTTTTTTAATATATTTTATTGATTTTTTACAGAGAGGGATAGAGAGTTAGAAACATCGATGATGAGAGAGAATCATCGATCAACGATCAGCTGCCTCTTGCACATCGCCACTGGGGATGTGCCTGCAACCAAGGTACATGCCCTTCACCAGAATCGAACCCGGGACCTTTCAGTCCCCAGGCCGAAGCTCTATCCCCTGAGCCAAACCGGTCTCGGCTCCTTCATATTTTTAAAAATTATATATTTTATTGATTTTTTTACAGAGAGGAAAGGAGAGGGATAGAGAGTTAGAAACATCGATGACAGAGAACCATCGATCAACTGCCTCATGCACATCCGGGATGTGCAGGGACAACCAAGGTACATGACCTTGATGGGAATCGAGCCTGGGATCTTTCAGTCCACAAGCCAAAGCTCTATCCACTGAGCCAAACCGGTTTGGGCTAGAATCATTTTTAAATAATATATTTTAAAAATCCCTTTGTATTGGTTACCTTCCATTTAATCGAACAATTTGTATTAGAACAAATTTAGGAGACTCATCACTTGTTCACTATAGTGTTACTTTTTATGTGGAAAATCGAGTCAAGAATGAAACTTTTTTCCCCCCGAACTTATTTTGCATTAAGCATTACTTTTTATTTGGCACCTTCTACAACCCCGAGAAAAAATTATTATTCCATTTTCATTATAAGGTAATCATGTACAACATATATAAGCTTACACAAATTCAAATAGCTTGATATTCCTGTCTTTTCACATCTAGCCTATAAATCCTTATTTGAATAGTCAAATAGGAAGGAATATGGATTCAGATATACCTCAAAGTCCATTTCTTAGTGGTCTTACCATCTTAACTGGTCATGAAGCTACTGAGCAGGGCCTTAGTGTCATCTTAGGATGACTCGGTAAATAATATGAGTCAAGGAAGTAATACTATGTCAAGCACACACTAGCTGCATAAGAAATGTTAATTTCTCACCCCCTCCTCCAGATGATGCAAATTCGGGAATTTAAGGTATAGGGGATATTTATCCACAAGACACAAAACTGTTTTGACGATTAAACACACACACACACACACACACACACACACACACACACACACACCCTGGTGCCAATTAGAAAACTCTTTAATTAAATGCCTACCCAATGCAATAGTATACCAATTTATGCTTAAATATAATTTTCTACATATGCCATCACCTTGAAAACTTTGTAATTTCATTTCTCAATCACTTCTAAGCATATACCTAACCAAAAACTATCAAGAAATCATAAACCTAGCGCGAATGGAATGTTACACCCAGGCAAATAATATCAATGGCAATTGCATGACAGAGAAGAAAAAAAGTTTATTCAAGGTCTGAAGTGCATCTACCTACTCTTTTCGTCCAGAAGTGAAGCCCTTCTCTGCCCCACCCTCCTTTAAAACGAGATTCTCAGCGTCTGGGGTTTTAAGAAGCCAAAGCAGGGAGTGCAACCGCTTCTGACTATGACCACGACGAAGGAAAGTTTGCTGCTCCCTAATCCTGAGAACGGGTCTACTGCCACCACCAGGAAATCAAAACGCATGTCTCTGCCGTTCCTGGCCCCGGTCCCACAGATGCCTCTGAAGCTTAAGGATTTTCCCCTTTCTCCGTGGCCCGCAACTAAGGCTGGAACACGCTGGCAGGGTGCGGACAGCCACTCCCTGAGCTCCAAGACCATTGCACTGACAACCCCCACCCAAAGCTAGAGACCCCCTGACACCTCCCCGGCCCGCTTCGCCCCGAGAGTCACTTTTGCGTAAAGGAAGTTAAGACTTGAGGCTAGAACGATGCGCTTAATCCGCTGCTCCTCCTCCCCTAACCCCCCTACCCGCTCCCCCAGGTGCCTGGTCCCCAGCCCGGCTGCCGCGCAGCCAGTCCGCCTGCCCTTCTTTGGGCCGCCGGCTTCAGGACTCGGCAACGCGCATGTGCAAAACTCTGCCTCCCGGCCAATCGCGCAGCCGGCGGGGGCGGGGCGGCGGGCGGGGCCGCGCTCCTCGCGCACGCTCGGGGCATGCGCAGTGCCGGGCCTGAGGCGCCAGACGTCGACTTGGAAGTTCCGGGGAGGCAGCGCATGCGCTAGGGGGACGCGTTGCCGGCGAAGAGGGGAGCCTCTCGGACTCGGAAATTTGAATACCGCTAAGCATGGAGTGCGACCTCATGGAGACTGACATCTTGGAGTCGCTGGAGGACCTCGGGTAAGCGCGCCCGAGCACGGCGGGTCTGCCGGTCCCCGCTCGGCGGGGTCCCCCCGGGCACGCCTCCGGAGTGCCCCAGACGGAGACACCTGGCTCTCCACGCCGCACCCCGCGGCGGCGCCCGGCCGGCTGGCGCGCCTCCCCTCGGGCGCCGGGACCCCGGTGCCACGTCTACCGTCTGCCCTGCGCGGTCCGGGCCCGCCACATGCGACGCCCCCGGGGCCCGCCCTGGGCTCCTGGCAGCCGAGTTCCCCGCGGGGTCGGTCCGTCTGGCGTGTCATTGTCTGGGCGCCGGTCCTCTCGCCAACCAACCAGCCAACCAACCAGCCCCCCTCGCGGAGCGTCTCCCCGGGCTCCCCATCCTTCCGGCGGCACCCCCTCACGGTAGAGGTCGCCAAAGTTGACTCCCGGCTTTCCCGCTTGCCCTCCAGACGCCCTGCAGGGAGCCCCTGCGCCTACCCCACCCCGTCGGGCTCAGAGCGCCTTTGCCCAGTCATCCCCGCAGGCGCCCGGCGCCCCGAAGCCGCAGGTCCGCGCCTCACCTGCCACCACCTCCCTGGGAGCCACGGGCTGCTCCGCTATCCTCTCGGACACTCCTCGGAGCCATCGCTAGCCCCTTCCTTAACCCTGAGGGTCGTCTTCAGCCCCCACACCCCTGCCGGTGTGTGGTGTCTATTGTCTCCCCTCCTGACAGCTAACTGCCCCTGAATGGTCTTATGTACAAGTTGGGAATGAAGGCTTCTGACCTCCCTTGGGCTGACCCAGATCAGAACACTCTTGTTAAAACTTGAACACGCAGAGAGACCCTCTTGGGGCAAATGTGGCTTCAGAAACAAATCGTATGATAAAATATTTGGTTATAGGTACAGTGTCAAAAAAATTTATTTATTTATTTATTTATTTTTTTACACATTTAGGTAGCTGTATTCGTAAAGATACAGTCAAAACCTTTCCCCTATGCTTTTGGATCATCACGTGGAAACCATTTTTTTAAGAAGGGACAGTGGGAGGGTTCCCCGAGGCTGGCTGTCCCCCTTAAGCAACTTGCTGACCTGGTAGAAATGTTTAGGAAAGGAAGCGGCAGTGCTTATCTAAACCTTTCTTTGTCAAAGTGAAGTACCATTGTTGTTGTTCTTTTTTAGGGGGCTTATTTCTTTGAATAGAGTATAAGTAAAAACGGATCAGCAAAATGGGACTGTTTGGGTAGACATCTGGAACGAAATGCATGCTCACACAGGAAGCCTTCATTCATTCGTTCATTCATTCATTCAGTGCACGTTTGTTGAGGAACACTTGTTCTGCGGCAGGGTTGGGCTGAGCAGGGATGGGTACAGAGTTCACAGGTTCCGAATATGCTGTGAGGAAGGCCCCTTTACTGCCAAAGGAAATCAAGCCCTAGAAGCTTCTAAGAAGTGGCATTGAAAGCTGTCGGATGAGAGGACAAGGTGGACCTTACGTGAATGCAGTCATTCTGCATGGGAGGAGGTCACCCAACAATGGGTGATGGACGTTTCTTCCCGTTATTGTTCTTTTACCTTCTTTCAATGTTCTTAAGGGAACTATAAAAGTAGTCATTGGAACCCAATAGTTACTTAGGATGAGGTGTAATGTAAAACGTGGGATTTTCTGAAAACTTTGCTATAAATTTTAACCATAACTACTTAGTTTGGTGGCATTCAGTCATTAAAATTTATTCTTAATTGATGGATGTGTACTTTTAAAGAATTCACTGAGAAATACTAGAATTAAATGACTGCCTTTCATCTCTGATTTGGCACACAGTAGGAATTCAGTAATTATTTGTAAAATAAGAGAGCAAAATCTAAAAGTGAAACACAAGGAGTAGTTTCTAGGCCTAGTCTCTTTACTCCAGTGTCTAATATGTGCTTTTAAATCTAGATGCCAGAGATCTAACCTCATTTTGTGTAACACTTTTTCCATTCCATTCAGTGTATACACATATAATTGTATTTTAAAGGGGCTAAGTATTTTATTTTATTTTTAAAAATTTTTTTTAAAATATATTTTATTGATTTTTTTACAGAGAGGAAGGGAGAGAGATACAGAGTTAGAAACATCAATGAGAAAGAGTCATCGATCAGCTGCCTCTTGCACACCCCCTACTGGGGATATGCCCGCAACCAAGGTACATGCCCTTGACCGGAATCGAACCCGGGACCCTTCAGTCCCTAAGCCGACGCTCTATCCATTGAGCCAAACCGGTCCTGGCAAAAGGGGCTAAGTATTTTAATTGCTCTAACATTTCTATACCACTAAACATCAAATTATCTCAAGTGTACTTAATACATTACCTTTAATAGCAAGGATTTTATTAATATTTTCTTTACAAGAAGATAAAATAATATTCTGAAGAAAATATATTTTAAAATTCCGTTGAGAATGACAAAATCTTTAATTATAGCTATGTCCTAGATTGGAGTTTGTTATTACTATTGCCTTTTATGAATGTTTGAACATTAAATAATTTTTAAAATTACATTTGACTTAGTTGCAAAAGATTAGGTTTCACTTGTACCAATTCATCCAAATATCAACTCGCCAGCAATTATTAGATTAAACTTGACATTTCTCTGGTACCAGCAGGTCTTACCGGTCTCAACCGTCATTAAATATAGAAAAAGAAATAAATGATTAATTGGAAAGTTTTTGCTTTTAAAGAAAGTCGTTAAAACCCTAACCTATTTGATTTCTGGAAAAATCTCAAGAAAAAATAATTTCTAAACTAATAAAATAGAGTATAATTAGCTATCACTTATTAATCTGGTTTTAATACTCAGTTCAGTTAGAGTAAGAAAACAAATCTTTATACAGTAAGAGCTTTCTGTAAGTGTTTAGAAGTAGACATAACTATTCACCTATATTTTGAAGGGATGAAATGCAGTTACCATTTAGCTTATTTTTCTAATGATTTGGTATAGTTCCAAGTTTTTATATTTGTAAGGTTAGAAACTGGTCATAAGATCTTTTTTAAGCTATCAATTATAGAAATAATACATAAACATATTGCATCTGTAATATATTAGGTGTGATTCTGTATTCTGAAGTGTGATTTCTTAACTCGCCAGTTACAAGGGTCCATTGTTAGAAGATGGCGCTCTGTCTCAGGCGGTCTCTGCTGGAGCCAGTTCCCCTGAGTTTACCAAACTCTGTGCTTGGCTGGTGTCTGAATTAAGAGTGCTCTGTAAACTGGAAGAAAATGTGCAAGCAACTAACAGTAAGTAAAGATCAGTTCTAGGGGCAAAATATAACATAAAATTTGGGTATTGCCAATTGAACACTATCAGTGCTATAAAGCTAAAATTTCAAGTTCTTTGTAAATATATATATATATAAAAAATTGTAAAGCAGCAGAATACTCTGCCTCTATTGTTTTTAGAGAAAAGTGATTCAGAAGTTGAAAAAAAACAAAATATAGTCATGCAACTGTTATGGAAGGTGAAAAGACCCTATTACTAAAATACAAAAAAATGGAGAGAAATATAGCATATATGAACTTTCCATTCTTTGTAAAACGTTCCTCGTGAGATCTTAAATTGGTGGTATTTTTTCTTTCGTACTACCAGATTCCAGAAGCATGTAAATACTCTGTAATTAATATATGTAGGGAGAAAGAGAACACTTATTATTAAGTTTTCTTATAATATATCACTAACTATACCAAAATCAAATCCAACACCATCAGATTTATGGCATTGAGAGCTGTTTTATATTTGCCAATTTTGTTACGGTAATAGCAATAACAACTGCAAAAGAGCTGTACAAAAGCTTAGAACCTGACACTCCACCATCTGGCTTCCCTCCTACCATAGGTAAACCTATAATATAATAGTCAAAAGAAAAATGTCCACCTGTTAATCCTCTCTTATAGAGAACTATATACTAAAGCCCATTTTCTTTTTCACAGAATTCCATTGTGAAGAGCTCACTCTTTTTTTGTTTAATGTATTTAATGTGTACATATTAATTGCACTTAATTCTAATTAAAAAATTTTTCCCCTTCAGTGATTTTGAGAGAAAAAGGGAGAGGGATAGAGAGATAGAAAGAACGATGAGAGAGACATCATCACTCCACTGCCTCCTGCATGCCTCCCTACCGGGAATCTAGCCCACAATTTGCCATGTGTCCTGACTGGGAATCAAACCAGTGACCTCCTGGTTCATGGGTCAGTATTCAACTGCTGAGCCATACTGAGCCAAATTCTGTTTGTTTGTTTTTAATATATTTAATTGATTTTTTACAGAGAGGAAGAGAGAGGGATAGAGAGTTAGAAACATCGATGAGAGGGAATCATCGATCAGCTGCCTCTTGCATACCCTCTACTGGGAATGTGCCCGCAACCTTGACCAGAATCGAACCTGGGACCTTTCAGTCCGCAGGCTGACGCTCTGTCCACTGAGCCAAACCAGTTTTGGCCCAAATTCTAATTTTTAAGGAGAGTATAATACAATAGTAATGATAGCAGCAGCTTACATTTATTGAGTACTTACTATGTTCTGAGTACTTTACTTATATGAACTCATTTAAACCTCAGGGCAGTCTTAGGTTTTATTACTCTTATACATTAAACAAGGAAACACAGTGAGGTTAAAGACATCACCTGAGGTTACACAAACCAGTAAGGGGTAAAGCCAGGATTCAATCCCAGCAGTCAAATTTGGGAGCCATTACTCTTAACTTTGCCTCTTAACCTAATATTTCAGAGATTGTAAGACCTTCTGAATAAACATCTGTGCTATATGGTAACTATTTATAACCCGGATCCTCTTTGTTCATATGAAAACACTATAGAAACCAATACATAAAAACAGGTCCAGTGTTGCTGCTGTAGTTAGGTTGAGAAGGGAGTACTTTTAGCACAACTCTCTTCTCATCGTCCCAGCTGCCTCTGAAGGAGGGCTGTGTACCTCTGGACCTCATAGAACACAGTTTGCAAAACATCGATAATACAGTCTTCCCATTTTATGGATGAGAAAAAGGTCTCAGGTCAAATGACTCTCAAAGTTTGTTAATTTTTGCCCCTCTCTGATATTGAATAGAGAGCCATCAAAATAGTAAAGAATAAAAGAGCATTGTTTTTCCTTGGTTCACCCAGTACACTCTATACTTTGTATAGGAATACATAACTACAGGTCATGTTCACTACCTTCATACTTAGTCTAGAAACTAGAAATGCAATTGAAACCGTTGTATATTAGTGATAATTACATACTTCGCTTGGTAGTTCACAGTGGGAGGAAGTCAGTGCCATCATACTTGGGTAAGGCTTCCTCAGGGAGCAAGACCACTGGACTTTGATGGATAGGTGGGACTTGATAAAGGAGAGGAGGGTAGAGGGCATATCCATCATGGGGAATAACTGAAATGAAGACATGGGATGTGGAAATTAGATGGACCTATGGCATTGAGACTATCCTGGCACAAGTAGAGGAAATATTTGTGGAAGTAGCAGATAATTATATTTAAAAAAAAACCATAATTGGGAAGGGCAAAGCAGAGGCTGTGAGAAATCTTTAAAGACAGAAAATCTTGCCCTAGCTGGTTTGGCTCAGTGGATAGAGCGTCAGCCAGTGGATGGAAGGGTCCCGGGTTCAATTCCTGTGAAGGGTACCTTACCTTGGTTGCAGGCGCCTCCCCACCCCATACCCTGGTTGAGCTCAGGCAGGAGGCAATCATTTGATGTGTTTCTCTCACCTAGATGTTTCTCTGTTTTTCCCACTCTCTTTCACTCTGCCTAAAAAATCAGTGGAAAATATTGTCTGGTAAGGATTAAAAAAAAGAAAGAAAAAATTGATTAGATGAGGTAGAGATTAGCCATTACAGATTCTCAAATAAGGGACTAACCTAATGAAAGTATTTAAGGAAGAAAATTGTCAGTGGCCTGAGAAAGGATGAATTAGAAGAAAAAGGAACTTTTGTTAGGAAAATCTTATTAAAATTTCAATTTATATATGTGTGTATGCTAATGGGAAAAACATTTTTATTAAGTAAGATGATTTTAATTCTTCAAAGGCCCGAATGAAGCTGAAGAATTCCAACTTGAGGTGAGTGGGCTACTAGGGGAGATGAACTGTCCATATCCTTCACTGACATCTGGGGACGTGACCAAGCGCCTTCTCGTTCAGAAGAACTGCCTCCTCCTGCTCAGTAAGTTCATGGCTACTAGAATGTAGCTTTTATTTTTTCTATTTATGTTTTCCAAGACTAATAAACTGGTTGTTACTGTTTTGTTTTATTATGGATTTAATTCAGAATACTTACTTTAAAGAAAACTTGATTAAATTTCCAGTTTAGAAGCTATTGGGTCTGTGTGCAGGCAGCAGAGATATTTTGTAATTGCTACTCATTTATCGTTGTGCTTCACCTGTTGTGACCAAAGGTAGTGCTGGAGTGTTGTTCAGTGTGTGATCATTAAACCTTAGCGTTCTAGACTGGAAGCACTTTTTAAAATAGACTGGGAAAACAGTGTGGGAATGGTCAAGTTTTTTTTATTATTTTTATCATTAAAATATTTTGTCTTGTTGATGTTTTGTTGTGATTGGGTAATTGGTTAAGGGTGTTGGTTTTGTTTGCAAATGTAAAATTTTCTGCAATAATATTTGCTTTGTTCCTATATTTGCTCATCATTGTGGGAAATAAATTATTATAAAAAGTTATTTCCTTCCATGTTTTGAAATACTAATTACTATTTCTCTCTTCACCCTGAAAAACAGTAAGTAGACTCACAAATTTTGCTGTCTTAAATTCTCCAATAAATTCAGTGAATAATCTTAACTCAGAATTGTTGTAGCATTCTGAAACACGTTTAGATTAAGCTTTGGTTAGCTAAGTAGTACAGTTCTTAATATGACAAACACAAATAAGAGTATTTTTTAAATATTTGTCTTTACCAACCGTATTATGTTTTCTAGAAAATGCTACAACTCTAATTTTGAAGATACAGTTTAAAAAAAAAAAAAAAAGTATTCATAGCCATTATACTTAATTATTCCAGAATCATTTTTTTTTAATATGGATGGAATGTTTCATGAATTTGCATATCATCCTTGCACAGGAGCCATGCTAATCCTCGTATTCCAATTTTAGTATGTATGCTGCCAAAGTGAGCACCAGAACCACTTTCTTAACTACCCCTTTGCTAAATGATTGCCCTTAAGATTAGATGCTGCTGTAGGTACTGAAACTGCTGCGGCAGTTCTTGAGCATGCCTGCAGTAACCTTCAACTCGTGTAATTTCTGTAACTGCTCAGCCATAGTGTGCTCAGTGATTCTTCTTTGGCAGCGCTGCTTCTCTTTACCAACGCCTAATATTTGGCACTTAGACCGTGTTATCTTACACAGCAGGACAACAGCTGCGTGGAGAGGTTAGTAATAACCCTGAGTAGCTAATTCTTCCACAGTGCTCAGAGTTTTCCTTTTTAGTGTAACTCTGATAATTATGTAAACCACTTTGAATATAAATCTTTATAAAATACCTTTAACTCTTTCCTCTTCCTTAAGCAGACTGCACAGAACGTGATCATTTTGGGTCAATATTAATAGGCTGTTTTAATGTGCTAGCACCTCAAAAGCTTTTCAAGAATATGCAGCTATTTGCTCAACTGAGTCAGCTAAAGTTCACTCTGCTCTTTGTGTTCTTCACGCATGCACACTACTCACCTGCCTCCTCATCTTTGCTTTTGCTGTTTCCCCTTTTCTAAATATTCCCCCAGTTTGTTTTCTTTCATGCTAATGTTTATGTACATGTACTCCTCTACTTGCTCCGTATGAATATTTGTCTTTCCCAAGTACCAGTTGTCACATCTTGATGCTATAATTTGACTTACTTCTTCCAGCACCCTTACGTTATTGATTTGAATCTTTTAATACATTGTGTTTCGAGGAGTAAAAAATAAACTAACCTCATTGGAATTGTTAGTAAAATAAAATAGTCTTCGAATGAGTGGCTGAAAAACTCTCCTGTGTCAGATTAAGAACTATTTTAGCAGTTCCTTGGCCTTTCTGGCTGTCAAACATTTCCCTTAGGTAAAATAAGTCATTTCTAAGTTTCTAATAGATGAAAAAAACTATTCATCTTTTTTATGCATTTATTATTTATTCCTCACTAGATTGTCAGTAGAGGTAATCTTTTTTGTTTTGTTTTGCATTAATAATCCAGTCAGTGCCTTAGTACTTTGAACTCACCATTTACAGTTAATGCTTTTTGATGGTAATTGTATTGGGGAACTAATTTTTTGAATACCTGTGCTACCTTGTCCTAAATTTAGAGAACAAATTGATTAAATCATATAATATATGATTTTCTAGAACAAGGGTTGGCAAACTTTTTTAAAAAAGGTCCAGGTAATAAACATTTTCAGTTTTGTGGACCACAAGATGTCTGCCACAACCCTGACCTGCACTGCTATGTAGCGTGTAAGCAGCTACAGGTGATACAGAAACAGATGAACGTGGCAGTGTTCCAGTAAAACCTTATTCATAAAAATTGATTATTTTTATGATAGTGGGGAGTTTTACTGTTTTGATCTTTTAACTCATACTGTTTGCTCTATGGAACATGTTAAGATTTGATCAAACCCATTTAGAATTACCTTTCCAGAAACTCGGGTGTGTGTATTTTCTAGGATAGGAGTTGACAGCTTTTCAGAAATGATCAGCCAAAATTATTACCCTTCTACTTCTAGCATTACCCCGTGGGTCTAGGACATAAGATATTCAGGCTGATCATTCGTCTGTCCTTCTAAATTTAAGAGCCCAGAAAATGGCTTTTTCCAAATCCAACTTTCTCATATTATCAAGAGGTTTTCATGTGGTCATATTCCTGAAATCCACATGATTACTAATTGTCTTATAAAAATGTAAATGTCCTGAGGAAGGTTAAAGGGATAAGATTGAATATTTGTATCTTCACCTTAATTACCAGAAGCAGATTGCAGCCCTCATTATCCATGACTGAAATCAACACACACGGGATGATACTGACACAAAAGGACTCTGCCAAGAAAGGATTTGAAAGTGTTGTTGTTTTCCTGGGAGGGGATGAGAATGAGGAAAGTAGGGGGAAGGGAATACTGAGAAGAATATTATCGATGGAAGAAGGGGGTTTATTTTGAACAGCCAGAGCTTGACATTAGGCTGCTGGACACCATAAGAAAGGAACTCTTGGGTGTTTAGTGCCTTCCCCCTTCTCCTGTATATTAAACTTGGACTGCTTAAAAATGTCGTTTTATGCCAACTCTAAACAGACTTCCTAAGTATTGGATGACTAGAGGAACACATAATTATACTAGAGGCCCAGTGCACGACATTCGTACGCTGGAGGAGAGGGGGCATCCCTCAGCCCGGCCACTCGGGGGCTCGCGAGGTGGCAATGGCGGGGGCCTCTCTGGCCTCTGAGGCAGCGCTAAGGAGCAGCAAGTCCCGCTTCTGGCTGAGCAGCACTCTGCACCCCCTGTGAGAGCTCACTGATCACCAGGGGGTAGCTCCTGCATTGAGCCTCTGTCCCCGGTGTCATTAGTGATCAGTCTTCCACCATTCGGTCAATTTGCATGTTAGCCTTTTATTATATTAGGGTCACTGGTACATGTCAGTGGTAAGAAGTTAAAAAAGTAGCCTTTTGAACTGTCACTGAAAATTTGCCACCTGCCACCTTTTGCAAATTTGTCAACAGATGCCAACCCCTGTTCTGTAGGTTCCTTAATAGTAGAATGCAAGAATCCAGATTTTTAGATGTCAGCTACCTTGATCTTTTGGTTTCAAAGAAGAATTATTTATTTTTAAATTAGCCTTTAAATATATATTGGTTAAATACCTGTGCTACAGAATCAGTTTATATGCTATGTCACTTGAGGTAAAAATGGTTTTCCTTTCTTGTTTTTATCCATTCTTGCAGCTTTAAAAGTTACATATCATTAGGTCTATAGCGTTGTGACTCCAGACTTATGACTATTAACTATAGCTGTATCTCATTTTGAAATCTTATTTTGTTTACTTCAGCATACCTCATCTCAGAACTAGAAGCTGCCAGAATGCTCTGTGTGAATACTCCTCCAAAAAAAGCTCAAGAAGGAGGCGGTAGTGAGGTCTTTCAAGAGTTGAAAGGCATATGTATTGCTCTAGGAATGTCCAAACCTCCAGCCAATATAACTATGTTCCAATTCTTCAGCGGGATTGAAAAAAAAGTAAGACCTTTAGTACCAGATTGTAGTGTATTAAAGGCATAGTCCTACATTTGTTTGAAATGAAGCAAGTTAATTTCTCCTAATGGGAACCTAATGTTCATATTATTAAGTAATTGTTGCTAAATGAGTTTTGGGTTTTAAATCCTAGAAGCTTTAAAGAGAAATCAGTATTTTAGTGGTTTATTTTAGTGGGTTTTTTTTTTGTTTTTTGTTTTAACATGTAGGCATGTTTCTTTTTCAAAAAGGAAACTTGATACTTGGATTTATAAGCTTTAATAAGATAGATATAATTAAAAAGAATTAAGTCCTTTAAAATTATTTTATAATTGAACTTTAATGCAATTAAGTTTTAAAGTCTTTATCGTTAAATATTACCACCCTCCCCATTGACTGGACAGAAAAGGATGTTAAACATTCTTGGTTTTTAATCCACTCACTTCCAAGTTTTACAAAGTTTCAATTGGCAATTTAGATTTGTCTGCTAACATAATCTAGAATGTGAAAATAATTTATGCCACACATTATCAACCATGAAGAGGTTTCAAAAAATCAGTGAGGAAAAGAGAATGATATTAGTTATAGCAGAGTTACTCTCTGTATGCATGTCTGTCAGACTCTAAGAATTGGTACATTGGCATTATGGGGCAGGTGTACACCATGATGCACAAATCTGGCTGAACTCTACAGGGGAGCAGCAGTGTGTCCATAGATCCTATTTTTCTATGTGTTCATTCATTCCTTCAGGAAATACCCATTCAGTGCCTACAGTTGTCAGGCGCTGGTGTAGGTGCAGTGAAGGAATCATGCTTCCATAAGCACATGAGGAGTGGGCCAGTGAGTGTCTTTATTGTGTGGGTCTTGTACATTTCAAAACATCCTCCACCTTTCCCTCTGTCAGGAATCTTCTTTTGATGGCAAGATATGATGGGACTTAGGAAGATGAGGAGGATATGTGTTACTTTTACATTTGTTTATTCATTCATTTATGTTTTTTTGTGTCAGTTAAAGGAAACATTAGCAAAAGTTCCACCTAATCATGTGGGAAAGCCTTTATTGAAGAAGTCATTGGGACCGGCCCACTGGGTGAGTAGTGATCATCTGTGGAGTGAATTTGCAAGGAATCGTCCATCTATCTTATGATATTTACGTTGACACCTACAGTGGGTGCTTTTTATTTTTTCTAATAATGTAGTTTCCTAGATGGACATCCTTAGAATCAATTATGAATCTTAAGATTTGTGCAGCAAATAATTTTATTTGCTTAAGATTAGAAACACTTATAATTTGTATATATTTCATGCAGCCAATTAAAATGAATAGAAGTTCAGTACGATGCATATTTCTAATCGCCAGGTGGGTTGTCTTTAGGTCAAAACTTCATTGGGTTGAGCTTCACACAATGGATTATAGGAAAGTTAAAAATAATTTTGTACTGTACATATGTTTTGAGACATTTTATATCATTTCCTTAATTATAACTTTTATTATATTTATTGAATAACTATTTTGTGCTAAGTGCTGGGATTCATGTATGAATGAAACAGACACAGTTTCTGCCCTTTGGGAACAAGGGTCAATCAGATTAAAATTCTAACTTTTTTTTTTTTGGGGGGGGGGGGTAAGGAAAATTCTAACTTCTTAAAAAAAAATTTTTTTTTTTTTTTTCAGGAAAAGATAGAAGCAATTAACCAAGCCATAGCCAATGAGTATGAAGTTCGGAGAAAGCTGCTAATAAAACGTTTGGATGTCACTGTCCAGTCTTTTGGTTGGTCTGACCGAGCTAAGGTACACATTGAATAATTTAAAAGAGCAGAGTATTTATAGACTTGATCCTTAAGCATTCCTAGTACAGTTTAGATACAGTGGAGACTACAAGAGAAGTACATAGGAAACACACAGAGGAACCTTTCTTTTTAGTATTGTCCAGCAAACCCTGTATATTATAGATCTTCCGTGAGAGAAATGGAGTGTCTGAAAATTACTAAAATAATAACTTTTAAAATTATTTTACTATACTTTGACAATTTAATTTCATTGGATTTAGAAAGACCAAATATTATGATTTATAGAATTGGGGAATAAGACTTATTTTAGCTTAAATGAGACAATCCAGTTTAAAGGTCTTGGTCATTCAACAGTAGATATTTATTAAATACCTATTATATGATTACTAAGTGGGAATTAATGGACACGATTAATTTAACCTTAAAACCCTGAAATGGAACTAAATCGTGAATTTTTGGGGAGGTTGGTCCAAATGTTAGTATAAGATGTTCCCTTAATAGTGCATTCAATTTTTTAAATTTTTTAAAAATATATTTTATTGATTTTTTTTTTTTTTTTTACAGAGAGGCATAGAGAGCTAGAAACATCGGTGAGAGAGAATTTTCGATTAGCTGCCTCCTGCACACCCCCACCAGGGATGCGCCCGCAACCAAGGTACATGCCCTTGACCAGAATCGAACCCGGGACCCCTCAGTCCACAGGCCGATGCTCTATCCACTGAGCCAAAATGGTTTCAGCCATTCAATTTTTTAAAAAAATATATTTTTATTGATTTTAGAGAGGAAGGGAGAGCAAGAGAGAGAAACAAACATCAATGATGAGAGAGAATCTTTGATTGGCCACCTCATGCACCCCCTCCTAGGGATCAAACCCAAAACCCAGGCATGTTCCCTGACCAAGAATTGAACCATGACCTCCTAGTTCATACATCAACACTCAATAGCTGAGCCATGCCAGCTGGGCAATGCATTCATTTTTAAAAATAGATTTTTCTCTGAATTTTAGTGAATTGACTCAGTATTTTTATTTAGTTCTCCAATAATCTTGCTAATATATTAGTTTCACAAAAATCTTGAAACCTTAGCAAAGTCCTGTTAGACTGAATTGTAGGGGTAGATATCTATTTGGTTATGGCATTTTAGTAATAGAAGGGGGTCTTAGAGGTCAGTCTTAATTCCCCTTATTTTGCAACTAAAAAAAATGGCAACCTAGGTAAATGGGAGACTTTGCCTAGTGTTTCATAGCAAGTCAATAGTACCAGGAGTAAATTATTCTCTTCTGTGATTGCTGTTTAAGAAATGCAAGTCCTTCCTTGAATTATCTTTGATAAAAATAATCATTTCACCCTCAGATAGTAGCTACAATTTAAAGAAATAAATAATCTACAACTTTCAGCTAGAGAAACATACGATGATTGATGAAAGTACACTGGGAAATTGATACCATGGTTCTAGGCTAGTCTTGACAGTAGGCACCCTGATACTCTGAGCTTCCCTATACTCTCCTCATTTTTGACATTTTTAAGATGCTGCGTTTAATTTAGGTGATATTTGAACTATAATACACAGTGATTGTATGAAATATATTGAGGATAAGGAAGGCCTATACAAATTATTTAACTTGCACAATTCTATTTTTTTATTTAATGGAATTGATGTACTGACATCTCACTTCAAAACTTCTTATTAAGTTACTTTGTAGAAATTATTTTAATGTGCACAGTGAAGTTTTATTTCATATGAGATAAAATTTATGCTCTTTTATATCTCACTTTGAAATTGCATTTTAAATCAGTTTTCTTTGAAACATAAAACCCATTTTCTCAATGTTTCCATATAGCAAACATTGATTAGAGTTCTTATTTAGGTACAATAGTGACTCGAAGAAAAATAAATATAAGAAATTCAGGAAACATTCCCCAAATTATGGAATGATAATTTTTTTTATTCTTTTCATTATTAAATCTTTAAAAAATAAAAGTCATAGATCATTTTTGTCTTAACTACAACAGCTGTTTGCATTTTTAGTATATTTTTTTTGCTCATGTTTAATCATGGTAAATTACCTTTTTACATTCTATTTTGTTATGTAATGTAATCCACACATTTACCATCAATATTTGAGTACCTGCATATAACCAAAAGGCATAGCAAATATTTTTGTTCTTGTGCTGACTTGATGTGTATTATAGTTGTAGCTATTGTTTCTGTAATTTAATAGAGAGGAATTGTTGCTGTCTCCCAAAATTTAGGTTGTTCTAATTTGCATATATTGAAAATGTTTTATATTTGTTTGAACTTAAATTCTCTTGGGTGAATTTTGTCTTTATATTTTGTCTTTATCTTTTGTGGTCTTGTGTTTGAAATAGATTTAATGACTTGCCCAAGTTTTCTAATTTCCCAGTGATTTGTCTCTCTCCTTAGATCTAACACCTTAATCATTAGTTACACTAATACTAATGGTTAATATAGACCCTTTGTCCTTATTTATTACTTATACCAGGGGAAAGTATTAAATAGGGGGGGGGGTCACTTTTGTAAGAAATGTTTCATGTTATTGTGTTAGCATAATTAGTACAAATTAGTCACAGCTAGCATTTTTTTATCTCATAATAAGCAAAGATGGGAGTATTACAAAGCAAGTATCAGACCAATGGCAGGGGTGACCTTCACAGTCCAAAATCGCCGTCCACCCCCTGGGTACCTCTTCTTTTTTACCCCCAAAATATATACAATCATTTCTTGCTGTTCTGGAATAGAGTTCTTGACTAGGTAGGAGCAAGGGTGAGCATATAACTTATCCCCTTTCCATCTACCAGACATTTTGGAAATCTTTTAACTTATAGAATATGAGTGTTTATATTCATTTTGAAAACTGACATTTTCTTTGAACATTTTCTTTCAACAGAGTCACACAGAGAAATTAGCAAAGGTTTACCAGCCGAAACGTTCAGTCTTATCTTCCAAAAGTACTATTTCTGTTGCTCACCTTTTGGCTGCAAGACAAGACCTGTCAAAGATTCTAAGGACAAGCAGTGGCTCTGTAAGAGAAAAGTCTGCCTGTGCCATCAATAAGGTGATTAGAGAGCCTTTGTCTTTCTTTCCAATGCAGGTATCTCCGTGCACAAAACAAAATGGTTTAAAATGCCTTCCTTCTCCCGCAGGTGTTGATGGGCCGGGTGCCTGACAGAGGCGGCAGACCCAATGAGATTGAGCCCCCGCCCCCGGAGATGCCGCCGTGGCAGAAAAGGCAGGATGGCCCCCAGCAGCAAGGAGGAGGCCGAGGCGGAGGGAGAGGCGGCTACGAACATTCCTCATATGGAGGACGGGGCGGTCATGAACAAGGAGGGAGAGGTGGACGTGGTGGCTACGACCGCGGTGGCTACGACCACGGTGGCCGAGGGGGAGGAAGAGGAAATAAGCACCAAGGAGGCTGGACAGATGGAGGGAGTGGAGGAGGAGGTGGAGGTGGCTACCAAGATGGTGGCTATCGAGATTCGGGCTTCCAGCCAGGTGGCTACCATGGTGGCCACGGCGGTGGCTATCAGGGTGGCGGTTACAGTGGCTTCCAGACAACTACTTACACAGCAAGTGGATACCAGGGTGGTGGATACCAGCAGGACAATAGATACCAAGATGGCGGGCACCATGGCGATCGAGGCAGTGGGCGTGGGGGGAGAGGCGGGCGCGGAGGCCGAGGTGGGCGCGGAGGCCAGGGAGGAGGTTGGGGAGGAAGGGGGAGCCAGAATTATCACCAAGGGGGGCAGTTTGAACAGCACTTCCAGCACGGAGGCTATCAGTATAATCACTCTGGATTTGGACAAGGAAGACATTACACTAGTTGAGGCTACAGAACCTACATTTTGCTAGAGCTCAAGTAATAGAAACTTAGTTTAAGAATCCTGAGTCCAGTATGGATTTTGAATGTGAGACCCCAAGTGGCAGGCAGATTTCCTGCCCGGCACAAGCATTGTAGGTCTTCATTCAATTCTGTTGGTGGTTTTTTTTTGTTTTGTTTTTTAATGGACTTACATAATGCTGTTTATTTGAGAAACACGTACAACATCGCTCCTTTGTATGAAGAATTTTTTTTTAAAGGTAATTAACATTGCCTTTAATTGACCAGTAGACTAATTTCCACAGTCAGAACATGCCTACTTTTTTGAAGAAATTACTTGAATAAGTAGTTTTCAATATACAGTTTTGAAAATGAGGATTCTCCTAGATTTTTTTTAGATTTACAACTAGGAAGTCTTCCTCCTATTAACAACCCATTTATACGCGTTTTCCTTATACTGTTCTAATGTCTATTTTTTCAACAGTTTCCACCCCGGTTGGCTTTTTATTTGGAGAGGCGATGCCACATTTGCTTCCCGATAGAACGTTTGGGTCAGTTCCCATTCACTGAGCTCGTCTGCAGATAGCACATTCGGTAGCCTTATCCTCCTGATGGAATATTGTACCCACGAGCGGGACTCAGAAAACCTGGAACGTGGCCAAATTCCGTCAAGATTATTAAAGCAAGCTAAAGTTGTGAGTCTAGGGTACACGTAGGCATTTAGTGAAGTATATAGCAATTCAAACTGACCTGCATTCATTCAAAACAAGTTCCTCCTTCAACCCTATTTTTACTTGAAATCTGCTAGAAGAAACGGCAAGCTGAAATTTGTTTTATGCACGAGTTAATGCCGCTGGCTCAGCAAATACAATGTAGTTTGCTTTGGGCAGGAGACTTTTTTTTTTTTTTTTTTTGTAACATAAGAAATGCACTACAGAGAAAGAGGACAGATTTTTGCTTAGTGCAGGAGGCCCTTTATTATTGCTGCAGAAAACAAAAGCCTGGCTGAGCTGATGTTTTTACATTCTCCTTTACTGAAATCTACACGACACTTCTTGCTGGGTTTTTGTAGACTTAAACCATTGTCAAGCTGTGAAAGGAAATGGCTGGAGGTGTGCTTTGTGTGAAAGGTGAGCAATAAAGTATCTACGTTCTCTGTGGTGGTTGCGCATTTTGTCTTCGCTACTTTTTAAAAGGAATTACTCTGCATAATTGCTTAAAGCTTATGAACTAAGGTCCATGTCACTGCCCTTCTCCATCCCTCCCCTTTCTCCCCCCACCTCCGGAGATTCCCGAGTGTTCTCTTAAAACATAATTTGTAGTGAAAGGTAATGTTTACCCTAGAACCTTAAGTAAATCGAAAAACAGCCGTTTCCAAACCGACCTTTTACTGTTATTGCTAGAAAATGTCATTACTCATATGTGACCACTGGGTGTAGCTGTTGCTACACAGTGTATTAGGCACAGGTAAATTATAACCCCATCTTTTAGGGATTTTGTTTTATATTCTCCATTCTTCCTAAGAACGAGGGACATTTTTCTTAAAAGAAAAGGATTTTTCTTAAAAATATAAATATATGCTTATAAAAAAGATAGTATTTCCTGTTTCTACTAAATTGGTTTTTTTTAGAGCAAGGAATCAACTTGTCTTGCCATTAAAATTATTCTATTTGCTATTGAGTTAAGCACATTGCTTTGATAGCTAAAACCATTTTTGAAAGTCTGCCTTGATTTTTTTTGTTAACTTTACCTGTTCATTAGATTTTTTTGGCTAGCTAAGTTCGGTCTGGAAAGTTGTAAGTTTTGGTCTCTGCTATTTTATAGTATAATTAGGAGTTGTTTTTTTAAATATATTTTTATTGGTTTCAGAGAGAGGGCGAGAGAATCATTGGAATCAGCTGCCTTCTTCATGCCCCATACTGGGGATCAAACCTGCAACCTGGGCATGTACCCTTGACTGGAAACGAACCCAAGACCATTTAGTCTGCAGGCCAATGCTCTATCCACTAAGGCAGTGATCGGCAAATTGCGGATCACTAGATACACGCGGGTGGCGTTTGCCCCTCTGTTGATTAATGAGTTTGCTGACCATTGCATAAGTTTTTCCTTCAGGTTAAAGAGTTTAGTCTTTAAACATTTAAAATTTTTAAATGTTTTTCCCTGAGGCAGTGGTCGGCAAACTCATTAGTCAACAGAGGGGCAAACCGAGGCTTGCGAGCCGCAGTTTGCCGACCACTGCACTAAGCCAAACCGGCCAAGGCAGGAGTTTCTTATTACAAATAAGATTGTCAAGGTTTCATATCTTAAAATGTTACATTTAGTATTTTCCCTAATTTTTCCTAGCCTCAGAATCTACCTAATGACTGTTGCATTCTTTTGAAATATAACTTCATTTTTTATGGTTAATAGATTGCTCTTCAAATATGAGCATATTAGAAAGTAAATGATATATTTATCTATGATGATTCAAAACTTTTCATTTTCTGCTTCAAACTATAATTTTTTTATGTTACGAAACCATAAACGTATTGTCTTTTAGTTTCTTTTTGATGTAGATTTTACTCTCTAGAAATGGGATATTTCAAACCACCAGTTTTATTACATTAAAATAATAAAGTTACTAGATTTCTTAATAGAAAAAGTATGTTGATCTTACATTCTTAACCTTGTAGTAAATAATGAATAGGGTATGTGGGAATTCTTTGGAGAAACAAAAATTAGGAGTAGGTAAATTTTTTTACCTGAAATTTCAAAATATTGTCTCAGACAGATTGAGACAAACAATACCTTTTGTTAGTGCTTTGTTTCCTCCCTATACCAGGAACTAGAATGGGATATCAACACTATGAAAATTGTCAAAGATATGGCACTGTCATGTTCATTTCTTGCTCTAGATCCAAAAATCGAGCTAGTGTCCAACTGTGGGCACAAAATAAATTCCTGCTGAGGGAAAGAAAGCATTTGAAGTCATTTCTCTATATATTTAACTATTGTCCCACTGCCTAATTCACTTATTCATAACTAGAGGCCCAGTGCGTGAAATTTGTGCACTGGGGGACTGGAAGGGGACAGGAGGAGGTGCTTCAGCCCAGCCTGCACCCTCTCGCAGTCCAAAAGCGGACATCCTTACAGCTGTCGCAGAGGCGGGGAAGGCTCCTGCCATCGCCGCTGTGCTGGCCAGTTGTTGGTCCACCTTCTGGCTAAGCAGCTCTCACCCTGTGGGAGCGCACTGACCTTGAGGGGGCAGCTCCTGCACTGAGCGTTCCACCGATTGGTCGATTTGTATATTAGACTTTTATTATATAGGATCTTATGCTTAGATGTTTATTTTTTTAGGTTTTGCACACTACCTTTCTGGATACTTTGCCTTTTGAAAATTTAGGTTTAGCTAAATAGAAAAATTCATCACTAAAGTTAGATAAAACTTTCTGGTGCTTGTCTTTTTCTCTTGTTCTTCACTAATGTGATTCTAATCACTAGAAATGTTCATTTTGTTGTTCAGCACTGCATTTCCACATTTCAAGAATCCCTAATTGGAACAGGTATGCACGCCAGTGTTTGGACTCATCATCTTTTAGTTGCCTGCAAACTCGTGTTGCTAAAAAGCATTGCATAAACATAACTGTTGGCATGAGAACTTCCACAGTAAGTCATTCACTGCCCACTACATATCAATGAAAAAGTTTGGAATTGGAGGGAGATTCTCAAAGAAAATGAAGTGCTATGATGACCAGTGTGTGTTATGTTACACTTTACTCAAGAAGAAAAAGGCCTGCAGTTCAATAAACACTTGGGTGCCTGCCATAGTCCAGGCATTGTGGTAGGCATTTGAAGCACAAAAGTAAGTTAGGAAGTCCCTGCCTGTGGGAAATGTCCAGTGGCAGATGCAGATGCAGATGCAGAAGCTTGCAGTATACTACGGTTTTAAAAATGAAAGGCCCCAGAGTATTGGAATGACACAGTTTTCAGTATTGCTGACATGAGGTGAGGTGGAAATTGGCAGGAGAAGTTGGAAAGGGTGCAGGTGCCAGGTAATGGAGGGTTCTACATATCTTTCTAAATTTGGCGTTACTTGGACCTAGTTTATGGACCTTGGTATGCCAAGGCATGGACGGATAATGGATTCTGTGTAAATCATTGGCTAAAGAGTAGAGAATGGACTTAAGGCAGGGGGCAAACATTGGAATGAGAAACACAGAGCTTACACTAACGTAGACTAGGGATGGGGAAGGGACAATTCAGGAAATAACATGAGTTAAGACCACCACATTTATTAATTGGCATAAGAAATTTAGTATGACTCTGGGTTTCTTCGTTTTGTAATTCAGTGGCAATAACATTAATTGTAACCAAATTTAGGAGAATTGGGGGTGGGGGCGGGGGGGTAGGTGTGGAGGGACTGAATGACTACAACCTATCAAAAATTTATTTTTATCTAGCAATCAGTATCAATGCTATTTTTGAACGAGACATATACAAGATGATTTAGATAAGATTTTCTTAGGGAAAGGTATGAAAAGTACTCTCAAGTCTTCTGTGCAGATTCCTTTACTCCCAGTTGTATATAGCTCCTAGCACTTAAGGCTTTTATTAACACCATCTCTAACGTCTTTGTCTCCTAAGCCCTTAGGTGCTTTAGATTCCTTTATCCCAATAGAGTCCAGTTCACATGGGCTAGAAGACCAGTCATAAGTCAGCTATACTAATGTGGGTCTACAGAGAAATCGGTTTCATTCTCACTTATTCTCAATTATCAGAAACTAATGAAAAAAGTCAAATGAAACAAGCAGAAAGTCAATCCCAACCTAAAAGATGAGGGCTATTTTAGTACATATAAATATTTTTATTTACTAGAGGCCCAGTGCATGAAATTTATGCATGGGTGGGGTCCCTAGGCCTGGCCAGCAATCATGGCCAATCAGGTTCCTTCTCTCCCTTTCCCTTGCCACCCACGTCTACCACCACCCACCCCCAGTCACCCATTCCTTTCGGGGGGCCTGGCCCTGA